GGGCTGGATTCCAACCCGCCACCTTAGGTGTATGTGGCTGGCACCTTAGCCACTTGAGCCACAGGCGCCAAGCTGATTTTTCTTTTTTTCTGTCACAACTGTTTTAAAGAAAGATTTTCTAAAACACTATGAAAACCTGGCTCTTCTCACAAAACAGGAAGAACTCTGATGTGTCAAATAAAAGAAAGTGCTGATTATTCTGACTCTTCTAGTGACTGAGGTGACCTGGATACTTATCCAATCCCAGTTTGTAAGGTGTGAGCTAAGGAATATTGATTTGCCACAGAAACAGTTGTATCATAGTGCACCAGTAGGAGCAATAGCATTGCTGGGACCTGCCCTGGATTTGGGTTTGTCTCCTGAGGATGGTACTCTCCCACCAGCTCTCTGCTTGGGAGTGCAATTAATTGTCCAGAACAGTTTTATTTATTTTGAGACAGACTCTCACTTTATCCCTCAGTAGAGTGCTGTGGTGTCACATCTCACAGCAACCTCCAACTCCTCCAACTCCTGGGGTTGGGTGATCCTTTTGCCTCAGCCTCCCGAGTAGCTGGGACTACAGGCGCTGGTCACAATACCCTACCCACTGAGCCACAGGCACTGCCTTTTTTTTTTTAGAGACAGAGTCTTACTATATCATCACTATGTCACTATGTCATCCTCGGTAGAGTGCTGCGGCATCATAGCTGACAGCAACTTCAAACTCTTGGGCTTAAGCCATTCTCTTGCCTCAGCCTCCTAAGTAACTGGGACTACAGTCGCCGCCACAATGCGTGGCTATTTATGTTGTTGCTGCACTTGTCATTTTTTTTTTTTTTTTTTGGTTGTCATTGTTGTTCAGCTGGCCTGGGCCAGGCTAGAACCCGCCACCCTTGGTGTATGTGGCTGGCGCCATAACCACTGTGCTATGGGCGCCAAGCCTTGCCTCAGTTTTTCTATTTTTAGTAGAGATGGGGTCTCCATTTTGCTCAGGCTGGTCTCCAACACGTTAGCTCAAGCAATCCACCCATCTCGGCCTCCCAGAGTGCTAGGATACAGGTGTCAGCCACCGAGCCAAGCTAAAAGTGCACTTTTTTTTTTTTTTTAAAGTAGAGACAGAGTTTCACTTTGTCACCCTTTGTAGAGTACCCTGGTGTCAACACAGCTCACAGCAACCTCCAACTCTTGGGCTTAGGCAATTCTC